AATTTGGTACTCTTAAGCCGCGTCTAAGCAATGCGAACAAAACGTTCGCGAACATATATAATTACTATACTATAGCACTATAACTCGTAGCAGCAGGGCGTAAACGACGGCACAGTCCATCGCATCGGTCCCGAGGACTGAGGTGCGGGGAAGCATGACGCAAGCTCGACACGCCGGCGCGATAAAGAGGCAGTGAGCAGTTACCAACCAGTGATGCGTGGCTGTCTTGGCCGACGGATGGTTGGGCTGTTGACGGAATTGTCGAAATACATCGAAAAAATAGCGAAAAAGCAAAATACGTATTTAAAATTGTTGAGTGAAACATGTATTTTCTTAGATTGAAAGTAGTTCGTAAAGTGGCGGTAAGAGACAATAATTCTCAACATTTATTCATTCAGAAAGATATTCATTGTAATGTGTAATGTGTGCTTTTCAAGGTGTTTTGTAAATCAGTGGTTCAAATTGTGATGAAGCCTATACGAAAATAATGTGTTAAGTTAAAAATGGGCACTGTTATTTTAGCAGTTTTTATAATAGCACGTACAAGTAAAGCAGCACAATGAAGTGTATTTTAGTTAAGTGTGTATCGAAAAAGAGAACTGTCGCAGTTACATCGATCTGTCATAAGTATCTTTTTAATGTTGGGTAAGTTTTTTTAATTTAACTTTTAAACATTTAACTTTTAATTTATTTTATGTAATAATATCACAATCTTAAAAATGTAATGCATCTCTGCAAACTCCTCAGGTGTTGTGATTTTATGACTTACTTGTAAACATATACTTTCTTGTCCATATGGCAACACAGTGCGTCGAATTAACTGAAATCCGGGCTTGGTCCGGGTAATTGGATGTAGTTGGCAATATCTGCCGGCGGTTCTCAAAATGTTGCGATTATTTTTTTAAATTTTCAAAGTTAAATAACTCAGTTATTTTCAATTTATTTTAAAAATGGTAAAGAGAAAATATGTTTATATTGACCAGATCTACCACCTCTTAAAATATCTGCACTCATTTCTGGGACACCCTGTATATATTATTAGACTAGAACTTTTTTAAGTAAGAAAGGTGCTCTTCGTTTAGTACTTTAGGGTGAACGTCGATTTAATATTAGCGAAATCATGAGATTAATTTATTTATAATTTCTTTACACTTTTACATTTTTACTTCATTTGATAGCTTCATACAATTCCAATTTTCTATTTTAAACTTATCCAAATAAATCCTAAGAAGCTGCAAGTAGAATTTATGTTTTTAAAACGGTAAAAAAGTAATCTACGGTTATATTGTTCATTAAACCGTTGTATAATGAGCACGATATTGTTATTAACGACATCTATAGCCATTAAATAATACTGCGAGATGCGCACGAAGAGTGGCGTGTATTTCGAACAAGCGAGTACGATGAGGATCGTAAATTTTACCAACAGGCGTCCATATTTAACCGCCATTAAAAATACGATCAAAGATATTAAAGTAATAACTGTATATGTATATTCTTCGGACGATTATCCTGAATTATATAGATCAACAACACGAAACTCCATCTAAAATATCTGTAAAGAACTACGCACAATAGAAAAATCCTTTACAATACAGTTAATAACTGATGTTAAAATAAATATTTTTTTTCAAACGTCACAAAAGTATTAATTTTTGCGACGTGATTGACAATCTAAAAAAGTAATTTTAACGCCTTGGCATAAAAGTAAAGCACTTTTACGCCTAAACATAAAATTATGGAAATATATTATTAAACTGACATAACGTGTCAAATTCAACGAGCGTAACCATAGTTTCTCGATATATAATTATATACAAGGTATGACTTTTAAATCTTTTCATATTAGGTGGAACGTTTGAAATTGTTTAAAAAATTATTTGTTGCATTTGAAAAAAATTTAATGTTCTATTCGAAGTAAAAATTACTTTTTGTGCCTCGGATGTATGTCAAATATTGCAAGCACAGCCATGTTTTTTGTGTTTGATGCCTTCGTTCGGGCCACCCGCAAATAATGTAAACGCACCTTTAGAAGTACCTCCAAGAAAGAGTTGCCGTAAAAATCGTACCAAACTTCTAAGTCTATGCAAATCGAAACGTCAAATCATAACGTACACGAGCATCGTTAAACACAATGGGCAACCGAAAAATCTACATAGCTATAAAACTGTCCCTTTCGCTGTCAGACCTTCCGCGAAATCAGATATCACCTCTCCATTATCCATTGTGGCGACGTTTCGGCGCTTTTGCCCCGTCATCAGGCGATATAAATACGGCCGACGTCTCTCTTTCTCTTTAAGAGCGCGCAGATGCGCCTATTTAATGATGCCGAAGACTTTTCTGCTTGTTTTGCTCTTATTACCTTCATTTCAGCTCGATTCTTCTTTCTTTTTTCTGTTTCTATGTACTGTTGATTTATAATGTTGTATTTAAGTTATTTTCCTCCAACTCAAAAACTGGGCCCAAACTGGGCCCAATTTTTTTAATACATATTACATTAAGTTTTTTATATGCATTTATTTAGCATTTGTTATCAATTTCTATTTAAAAAGGTGCAGTCAAGCTATATCTAGATATCTAACAGTTATGACCGCGCAGCTAATTAAGGGTGCACACTGTGCTATGGTGATATGAAAAATAAATCTTATTTTTACGTGAGGAATCTGCCTACGAGAGATGGCATGCTTTTTGAAACACCCTGTATGTTGTGTTGTAGTGGACCAATTTAGATTATTTTTTAAAGCAGTTTATAGCTCAGTTATTTGACTTTTTAGTATCTTTTTCTGAATTAAAAATGAAATTTCCTATCTGTTAAGTATACGAGAAAAAATAAAATGTTGATATTTTGGTCTAAGTTTGAAACACCCTGTAGAATATGCTAACAGAGCAGGGAATTTAAAAATGATTTTTTCTACGACTAGCCTAGAAAATGCAGTTTGACACACGGAAAACTCGATCTGAAATTGGCATTTGCAAACTGTTGTGTCATTTTGCACACGACATGTGCCAATTTTAACATTTTTAACCTCCAATGTTTAGCTGAAACGCCAAACGCAACGCAGCCGTCAGAAAAGTGTCATCATTACATTGCAAATTATTTCACAAAACTAGCAAAAATTGAGTGAGTCTGCTGCTAATTTGTAGTCGTAGAAAAATAGCGTAAAAAACTCGTTCGAAAACTTCTTTGTGTACTTGTTCGACTTGTCAACAAACTGTCAAACTCGTGTGCAAAACGTCGTTTTCGAAACTCGTTGTTTAATATACTATTATCACCTAGGTGCATCTTTTCTAGATAGATTCTTTTTTGGTTCATCTCAATAGCTTTATTTTTATTGGAGATATTGACTTTTGAAGAAGACACTAACATTTTTTCGTAATTTCTACATTAAAACAATACCTTTGCTTTTAGTCCTAGTCAACCGACCTATGATATAGTGTTGATGATTTATGTAATGTCACTGTCATTGAAAAATCATATTATTATTGTCTGTTGGGCAGTTACTCAAGCAGAGATGGTCTAAATTGTAGCTCTAGTCCTCTAACAATTCCATGACTCACAATTTTTAAAAAACTAATTATTTGACACTAAACTTCGTGTCGAATAGAGTGAACAACCCTGTATAAGGCCCGTCACAATTTTTGGTTCGTTTAAGTCATGGCTGGGAAACTTAAATGGAAATGACAGTTCATTAAAAATAGTTTTTCCTCCAAGATGCAGAGGCGCAAAATATTAAAACTGTCAATATCAACAATGCAAATGTCAATATCTGACAATAATAAAATTTGATTTTTAACTGACACGAGACGCTTTTGTTGTGATTTTACGGTTTAATTTCGTTTTAGTTTGTCGAATTATTGTAAAACTAAATTCCTTCAGATTTTTTGGCAGTATTCTGTTTTAGACAATGTTTTTTAAAAACAGTGGGACAATTTGTGTTTTGTATAGACTCTTAGTTATTTTTTATCATGGAGTTTAATTGTTGTACACCGGGTTTCCGAAGAATACAATGGTATCTAAATTAAATATATCTACTAACAGTTATAGATTTTTTAAATTAGTACTGCTAAAAAATGCTACTTGCTGAGCAGTTATTTAATTTTTTTAAGGTGCGTATTCATTATCCGCACGAACGAACGAACGAACGAACGAACGAATGTTCGCTAGTGGTATGGACGGGGACCGCACGATAGGACCGCACGAGAAGACCGGAGGCATTTATTGGCGAACGCCTTTGATGTACCGACTCGAAACGGATGGTCGAGCGAACGAACGAACGAACGGCCGCATGCGTTCGGTCCCCGTCTAAATATACCGCACTTTCATTCGTTCGTTCGTTCGTTCGGATAATGAATACGCACCTTTACGGTGCATGTAACGAATTAAGGACGCGCGTTGCGTTATATTAGCATGATCAGCAGGTGATTAAAACTAATTTAATTTGTTTTTATTATTTCAAGTCTCAAACGGAAACAAACTGGGAATCTTGTCCACACCAAAATTATATAGCCGTTTCCAATTCCCTTCAAAGGGAGGAAAATTATGTAAAACTGCCTGTTACTTGCTGAAAACCGCCAAAAATTAAATTATAACTATAACAACTTAATATATACTATTACTAGTCTTTTTAATATTTTTTTAATTAATATCCGACATATAAGAACACTTTGTATGCTTTTAATTAAGTTGATTTATCGTTTATAATATGTTCGACCTAATTAAAAGCACACAAAGTGTTCTTACATATATGACTAAATTTATTTTAAATTAACTAAAACAATCCCCCTTTCCCGCACCCCTCTCTTCCCTTAGTATTTCTTCCTCCGACTACCAGAGGCGCCCTTGTATAATAAAATTGAAATGTATTATAAGTTGCCTATCGATTTAATATTATAAGTCTCTTATCTATGGTCTAAGTGTACGTTTTTTACCTTTAAGTAGAAAAAGATAAACTATACATGTAAATCAATAATACTTAACCAAAAACTATGAAACTCTTTGATCAAACTTCACGAAAACGTCACAAAAATGCCAGTCAACGTCAAATAAAACATAAATTTTACGGAGAATGTTTTTCTTGAGAAAGTTATCGAAAAACTTGTCAAAACAGTCGATAAGAAATTCGGGTGCTGTTCTAAACCTTTCTCGGTTATCTCATAGAGATGAAGATGAGGAACGCGAGGAAGAAGAAAACGAAACTTTAAATATCGAAGATAGAACGGCTATAATAAATGGAGGAGCGTCAGGGATAGGATATGCTATAGCAAGAGAGTTTCTAATAAAAGGTTTTTAGAAATATACATATTATTTGCTTGATTCTATGATGTTCTACATCTTCAGTGTAGTGAGGAGCAAGTGCAAGATCAACACTTTCTTAGCCTTAGACTTGCAGTCTTATAAGTAGGGTTGGTCTTCCTACAAGACTTTTCTAAGTCTTGCAGTTTTTTATTAAACTTATACTGGAGGTACTTTCTACATAATAAATCTCATCGTAATTTTCTAGTTTCTATTCAAATAACACGGGGAAACATTTTTTTTGCGTTCCAACAAATCAGCGTATTGTAAAAATCAATACACGATATTCTTGTGGCAAATTGAACAGTCTTCAAAAAAGGTCCGATATGATTTTTCAATTAATCGACTCTGAATGTTATTGAAGAGAATTCTTTATATTTTATCACGAAATAATGGCTCAAAAAACATAAAATATCCTATTTTTTACAAAGTTCATGAAGTGTTCTTTGGTAAAACATTATTTTTTTTACGAAATACAAATAATCGTAAGAAAAATAGATTTTTTCTGTATTTAATCTTAAGTGGCACTCGAATGTTTTTTACCCAAGTAATAACTTAAAAAAATAATTTTATATGCTTAAAAGCTTAATGGCCTTATTTACACATGATTATTATGTAATGTAAAATAATAAAAGCCATGGTCCAATAAGTTTTCAATCAAAATAGAATTTAATATTTAAGAAAAGTAATAGTACCCTCTCATAATTTTCATTAGTTTTAATTAGATTATATTTTTCTATAACTCTTTTTTCACTTAACATAATTTTTATCTGACAAAAATACTACCATACAATAACCTAACAAAAATTTTACAATGTTAAATACAATAATTAGGAATTATCCTGATTTAACAGTAATCATTTATTTTTAACTACAACAGTGTTTTTTCTATACTCCTGACTATTGTTTCTTTCTATCGGTAGAATCTAATGGTAGAATTTTAGGTATGCACCACATCTCTATAGTCGATATTAACGCTGAAGTTGGCGAAACAGCCACTGAAAAACTAATGAAAGAATTTGGTAACGAGAAAGTTCTATTTTTCGAAGCCGATGTCTCTAAAGCAAAAGAGCTAGACGACGTTTATAGGAAAGCCATTCAATTTCACGATGTGCCTGATATAGTGGTTAACAGTGCCGGTATTATGGATGATACTAATTGGGAAAAACAACTGCAAACAAATATGGCTGGGTAAACTTAAATTATCCAACTTTTTTATATTAACTGTGTATACAGACAAGATCACAAAAAAATCTTAAATTTTCTATGAGCAAATACAAGTTCTTAGATGTTTATTTGAATATAACCTGTGCTACTGAAGAGTTTAAACCAAAATATCTACATATTTTGATACTATAGGTGTGTTGTTGGAACATTGTTAGGAATGCAATACATGGCCAAGTCTAGCGGAGGTTATGGTGGTACAATAGTGAACCTGGGGTCAATACTGGGTATCATACCGTCTTCAGGGTACCCTTTGCATACCATGACCCAGTTCGGCATTTGCGGATTTACAAAAGCCTTAGGCTGCGGTAAGTACAAGACATCTAGTTAAGTTAATAACTTCAAAATTCAACAGAAGATTGCTGATATATCATAATAAATGTATAAAACATCATGAAAAGTGTTAATATGTATAACAAACACAAGAAAGAAAATATAAATATATTCAATAAGAATTCAAATATTTATTTACCTACGTACTTAAACATTGCAAGTTAATATAAGCTAGTAAAAATAGTTTAAAGGTCTTTTTAATAGAAAACCTACTACTAATTACATATTAGTCAACAAGTCATCTAGGCAATTATATTTAATTGCAGAAATTTAAAAATAAATTGCAAAGCTTATGCAATTAAAACTTTACTACTGCGAATATTTATAACTTTTTCTAGACTTGGTTTCAAAAAATATTTTTTTTTGTGCAAAATAATAAAAAAGATCTTGAATTTTTTCCTTTATACAGGGTATTTGAAATACGTCTCTCTCCATTCAGATCTAGGAAACGGTTATGTCGTATTTTGGGAGACGAATTTGAAGCACCCTGTATTGGAAAAAACTAAGATCTACAAATCTATAATATCTGCTATATAGTTCATATTTATAAAGCAAATATTTACTTAGTATTAAAATACAAATATTTACAATACTAGATAACAAAAAGTTAATTTATAAGAAAATATGTGCGATATAAAATGCGGCTGTAATTTAAAAAAATGAAGTATCAATCAAAAACATTAGAAATTGTTTATATTTTTAATTTGTAAAACGTCATTTTATTGGTCATTTTAAAATTTGGGTCGCCCTGTAAGTTTGATTTAAAATGGCGTACTACAAATGCCGAGACAAATGCCATTGTCATATGCTCTTTCGTTAAACAGAATAAATTTTGTTGATCCAATTATTGTAGTTATTTATTTTTATTATTTTGGGTATATCTACCCATTATTAAAATAAAATATGAAAAAAAAACAATGAAAAATCAGTTAAATTAAAAATGTTTTTAGGAAATCACTTTCAAAGAACAAAAGTGAAAATATTTGCCGTATGCCCGGGTCTTACGGACACCACACTGCTGTCTGAAGCTCCCAGGAACGTTATAAACGATAGATTTGCTCAGGAATTTGCAGATGAAATTGCAGGATCAAATCTACAAAAGGTAAGCTACCGTTACAACCTGCTATACTAAATAAAAAATTCAAAAAGTCTTCTTCTTCATGTACCGTCTCCATATCGGAGGTTGACTATCATCGTTGCTATTTTGACCTTGGAAGCTGCGGCCCTAAATAGGTCAGATGACGTGACATTAAACCATTTTCGCAGGTTTCTGAGCCAGGATATTCTTCTCCTTCCGACAGATCTTTTTCCTATAATTTTTCCCTGGATTATGAGTTGCAAAATCTCATACCTAGGACCTCTCATGATATGGCCGAGATATTGCAATTTTATTTTTTTCACTTCCTTGAGGATCTCTACGCCCTTCCTCATTCTTCTCAGAACCTCCACGTTGGTTACATGTTCTGTCATGGTATTCTTAACATCCTACGGTATGCCCACATCTCGAAGGCCTCCAGTTTCCGCTCGCAAAGCTCGTTGAGGGTCCAAGCTTCCATACCATACAAAAGGACTGAGAATACATAACATTTGAGCATACGAGTTCTCAGATCTAGGCTCAAACCGCTGCTACAGAGCAGCTTCTTAATCGTCACAAAGGATGCAAGGGCCTTCTCAATGCGAATCTTTATTTCTGAACAATAATCCGCGGTGCAGTCGACACTTACAGTACCCAGGTAGTCATACCTCTTTACTCTTTCTAGCTCCTCGCCTTCCGCGTACAGATGTTCATTGGGCACTCCAGTTTTAGTGACAATCATGTATTTGGTCTTCTTAACATTGAGTGTCAGACCATATTCTCGACTAGTTATGATGACGTTATTTAACATATTCTGAAGGTCTTGCATGGTTTCAGCGAGAAGGATTGTATCGTCTGCGTAGCGCAAATTGTTCAATGGTATGCCGTTAACTCGTATTCCACCAGCATCATTTTCGAGGACTTTGTTAAAGATTTCCTCTGAATAGACGTTGAAAAGGAGTGGTGAAAGAACACACCCCTGTCTAACTCCTCGTTTGATATCCACTGCTCTCGTCAGTTCAGATTGGGCGCGAACAGACGCACTTTGATTGAGGTACAGTTTTACTATTATTTGTATATCTCTTGTATCGATATTTTTTCGTTCTAACGCTTCTATTAGTTGCTTATGTCTTACTTTATCAAATGCTTTATTATAGTCAATAAAGCAGGCATATACATTTTGATTGACATCACAACCAAACCAAACCAAACAAACAACATTGTAGGCAAACAACAATTAAAAAAGTGAGTTAGTGTAATTCATATTTACAAATTATGTCTGACACGTAAAAATAAAGTCAAAAATTGAATTTAAAGGATCAATGTATGTTATTCCAATCAGGACCGGACTATTTTTTCAATTAATCATTTTAATATTATTTTTCTTTCACTCAACTCCAAAAAAACTCGTAGAAGCTGTTATTGAAAATGAACAATTTGCTTCATTTAAGGAAGTCCAGTATTATTTTTAAAATTTACAATTACTCGGGTCGGCGATGCAACAGACTGTATACGAAATTAAAATTAGTCTTAATAATTTTATAGGTTGAAAGTGTTGCCAAAGGCCTGACTTCGATACTGGACGAAGCCAACCCTGGATCCGTGTGGGTAGTCGAAAATGATCAAGATCCCTACGAAGTAACGTATCCAGGAAACGTTTTAGATCTTAAAAAAGACAAAGCAGGCAAAAATTCCAATAAAAAAGATCTAGAAGAACACCTAGCAGCTAATATGATGTAATGTGTTCGTATAATAATAGTAAATCCTGATGTTAACTGGCTTGTGATAAAATAAAAATATTTCAACTAATAACTTAAAGACAGTCATATTTAGAAGAATAGGAACACAATATTATAGTCTATAAAATGAATAACTTTGAATTTTGACCGTTATTTTTTACCAACATGGCAAATATAAAATCCCTCTGTCAAAAAAGTTACTGATATTCTTTAAGTATTCTTTAAATTGAGTGCTTGAACGAATCAGATAGGTAACTCTTTTTACTTTCGTGAAATAGAAAAGGAAAATAATAAAACAAGTGACAGTTCTTCTTCTTCTTACAAAAATCAACACGAAATGGCATAATTGTCCAAAGTAAAATGTCATCAGCTTTTGACATTTCAAAATATCAGACCAATGCCGTCTCTAATAGAACAGCCTCGGAGTGAGATTTATGACGTCACGCTAATTAGATACGGATTAATAAATATGTTGTAGAATACATGGAAAACATAATTATTCCTCGTATTCTTGGTTTGTATTTTAAAAATATACAGTTAATAAATATAATATATACCTATTTATAGTAATAAATAGGTATATTATACTTTGGCAAATAAACTATGAACCATACAAATGCAGCAAATGTTTTACAAAATACAAATAATGAATAGGTACACTACTGAGGGGGGGGGGGGGGGGTAAAATGGGTAAAATGTAAAATATAAATGGGTAAAATGCAAAATATTACTACTAATGGGCAAGAACAGTTAACCTAATAGGATTGCTCATTCAGCCAAAAGTGTCCGACAGGTGCATGCGAAAACTACTCGCTTTGTGACGTCATTGTAGCCCTTGTCATGGTTATTAGTCCTTATCCGGCAACCAATAATACACACACGTGTATTATTGGTTACCGAATGCAAAACGTTCATTATTTATTTTATTTATTTAAACACCTTATATGTATGCAGTATAGAAAATCAACTGTATAAATCGTATTAAATACTCGGATAATGCATTTTTAAGAACAGCAGTTCCCAGTATCACCTTTTGCAAGCGTTCTTTTTAGAGTACTTCCATATTTTGCTTTAAAATAATTAATAAACAAAATCGTGGGCACTTAGTATGCACTTTGTCACAATCCACAACACAAAATGAACGTATTTATACACTCTATAACTCTAAAAACTTTAAAGACACCATTTTTCACATTTAAAATTGACAAAATAATTAACTCAAAATTTCTCAGCTGTTATTTTTATAAGTTTACCATAGGCAACTAATAATACACACTATCATGACAAGACTTTGACAAGGATGTCACAACTTCTACAATGACGTCACAACTGTCAGCTGAAGCGCGGGAAGAGGCGAACGTACGTCTTATGAGGATGAGCAATCCTATTAGTTTACCGTTCTTGACTAATGGGTAAAATGTAAATTTTGGGGTTTGAAAATCGACCTAATTTAACAAAAAACATTCAATATATACTAATAGTGATGTATTATTATTTGCATTCACAAAATTTATATGTACATATATTTTGCAAGTATCAATGTTCGAAAAATTATATTTGCAAATAATACAATATCATAGAAAAAAATGCGTCAGCGATGGCTATGAAATAAAGATCGCGATAATTTTATAATGTAAAATTATTCTAAAATTTTTGATTTTCTTGGAATTTAGGTTACGGAAAAACGCTGATTAAGTTTTCATTTGGTTTTTCATTATTTTTTTTGGTTTAAAAAAAAATGTTTCGGCTAACATTATAGCCTTCATCAGTGTTGTGTCATATAAAAAAATAGTGTCGAATATAATCCAAAAAATTGCATATAAAATATTCACACCACAAACCACATAATGTTTACTGCAATTAATAAACTAATATAAACTTGTCAAAAGATGACCACATATTTTTTAAAATTATTATTCTTAACACTAAAACTATCTACATTGCCTATGGAGTACGATTTCAGTCATAGTCAAATATAAGGAATAATTATGTTAGCGTGACGTCATAAATCTCGCTTCGAGGCTGTTCTATTAGAGACAGCATTGCGTCAGCATGGCCGCAAGTTGCTAACCTAATAAAATTACCACTAGAAAAGCCCGCGGAAACTGTCAAATTCAAAGTTATTCGTTTCACAGACTATACATACAAACATCCTTTAAAACACAAAACAGTTTAATCCACACTAAAGAAATGCACAACCTGAACAACAAACAAACTGTATTATACAAAATACCACGTGAATGTGATAAATGTTATATTGGTGAAACATCTAGACCGTTAAATGTTCGAACTAAAGAACATAAAGATTATTTAAAAAGGGCGATTTTCGCAAATCTAAGATTTGTCAGCATTCGTGGGACACAGAGTAGATTTTAACAACGCCAAAATTATTATGAAACCGATCCTTCAAATTTTTGGTGCAATATGATGAAAAGATGTAATAATGGTAAATTCTTTTTACAAAATATTTGTTGGTAGCTATTTCCGCTAAAGTATCATTTAATGACGGCGATTTTCTCTTTAATTGAATATTTCATGGCACAAAAAATGTCATAATAAATTACAATCGATACATGATATTTCTTAAACGCTGGATTTTCCTGAAGTAATCTTAAAACCAATTAATTTTGGAACATGTGATCTTTAATTGAACAATTTGAAGCACTTTACTGTGATCCGATAAGATAAAAATAAAAGGTCATTTTTAATTTCATCAAATACCTATTTATTAATAAATGTGTTAGGCAGGTATCGATGTCAGATATATATCATTTGGTTATCTTTTCGACAGAGGAATACTAACTAATAATAAATAGACAATCCTTACTCTAAGGGTACCACATAGTGAGGCATCTCGATACGATGCTCGCCACGATGCATCCTACGCGCACTTACTTGCCGTTTTAAAACAGTGCTTAAAACGTGCGCGTCGGATGCATCCCGGCGAGCATCCCATCTAGATGCCCCACTATGTTTGTACCCTAAGCGAAGTCTTGGATGACATAGAAACTTTGGAGATACAGAAACAAAATATAAACAAAAAAAAACGTTGCCACTTATTTACTGAAAAATAAGTGGCCCACCTCTATAACTTTTTTATTTTTTCAGATAAAAAATTAGATTTCGTATGTTTTATATGACTTAAATTAGGATTGATTCACCTATTCAATTATTTTCGGTCACTTACTGTTTCACCGGAAACTTTTAATTTTTAAATGGCACCTTCAGTATATTTTTATTTTATTCGATAGAAAATGACACTCTCAGTAGAATGACATATCATACGTCAGATTTTGGCATTTTCGCTTTAAAAAATTGTATTTTAAATTTCAATCTCAAGTGCTATGGCTGCGTTAAAAACACTAATTTTTAATCAAGGAGCCTTGGAAAAATGTATTTGATCGTCTAATGTTTTGCGTGTCTTGTCCTTGTTGGTTAAAGATGCCCAATTCGTATTTTTAATCATATCAAATTTTTTCCAATGGAACAAGGGTGGCTCATTCGCATATTTAGAAAAAGTATTTTATTACGAATAATTTAGTACCACACACTTGGTATTTCGTGTCAAATTATGTCGTTATGAACCGCATGTTACAATTTACAATTTCAAATAAACCACATGCGAAAATGTCAAAAGTTGACGTATGATATGTCATTCTACTCAGAATGTCATTTTCTATGGAATAAAGTAGAAATAGACCCAGGGTGCCATTTAAAAATCAAAAGTTGTAGTCATTTCCGGTAAAACAGGAAGTGACCGATAACAATAGAAAATGTCAATCAAACCTAATTTATGTATATACCGAGGGATGTCATTTAAAAATAAAAAATTATAGTTATTGCCGGTTAAACAGGAAGTGGCCAAAAACAATTGAATACATCAATCAATCCTAATTTATGTCATACTAGTTGAAGCCTGGTGCATCCGCCACGACACCAGAAAAAAAAATTTTTATTTTATTTTTTTTTTAATTAAATGAAAAACAAAAAATCTGGTGACGACAGTTTTTAGAAGAGCAAATTAGCTATCTTTTAGTAAAAACAGCAACTTTCTAGAGCAAGTCGTTACTTCAGTAGAGACGACACAGATAAACATTAGCATTTTATACAGGTTGTTAATTTGTTTATTACTCGCGGCAAGAGCTTTATGGTTGAAATATGGCAACCTCGGCCAGCTCGTCGATAGACGACGCGACAGAACGAGTCGGCAGAAAACCCTATAAGTGCATGCGTTCTCAATAGGCAGTGTTGCCATTCTGTTCCCCTATAAGTATAGTAAACGCCACGAATGTTTGGGAGTGATTCATCGCTTGATGAAGTTAGAATCGACACGCGCGCTATAATTTTTACATTAAAAACGTAAATTTTTACCGCAGACGTAGGGTTTTAAAGGTCCGGTCTAATCATCTACCTGCGCTCCTCCTACTTATTCTAATATGTTAGCGTGATTGACAAAGACGATCCTATATCGCGCGTCTTTGATTGATTCGTTTTTGTGCGTCAGTCCATTGGTGTGCTTGCAGTGCGACCAATGGGGCATTCCATTTTATATTTATAACTAAATATATGTTTTGACAAGACTTTGACAGTTAAAACAACAAATTACAACAGATTATATATTGATTATTATATGACATGAAACACCACGGCACTGGAATTAAGTTTTATGTGACCTTGAACAGATTAGTTCACATGGTAGCGACCGATAAATCACTCCCAAACATTCGTGGCGTTTATTATAACTGTCGAGTTAACAACCTGTATATGTAGATACTAACATACGAAATCTCGTTTTTTTATCTGAAAAAATACAAAAGTACACCCTATAGGGTGAGCCACTTTTGAGACGCACCCGGTATTAACGAAGATCGTACATGATTATATCATACGATCGAAAAAAAACAGCGTTAAAAGACGGCTGGGAAAGACATTCCAAATGGCAAAGCCCTAGGCCGTGGCTCAACATAAAAAAGGGAGCGTAGCGTATGGCAGAAAAGAATGCGTACAGTGTGAGAAAATACGCGTCAATCCGCAATACAGTACTATTCCATATATAGGCGCCAGTTTAAATACTATAATACAGCGCTGCTAATTTACGATCTATAATGCACGTTAGAGACTTTGAAGGTAAAGATTTACCTTTTAATTTTTTGCAGAATTTTCCAGCATATTGCGCCTACAATACACAAAATATAGCATTGGCTGAAATAAAATTAAAATATTTTCAATATAATTTTTTTTTTTTTTAAATAAATATTTTTAAGTGATTTAAAGAAACTGTTTCAAAATCAGAAAATGCAGTTTTGAAACTATTTAATGAATTATTCGGTCAGTGCGCATTTCCAGAATCCCTTTCAAAGGAAATGTTGCAACCACATTTAAGAGCTCGCCCTACTCCATAACGCATTTTTTCACAAGGTACTCCTGCTTTAAAGCCTGATTTCGTTTTAAAGGGATTCTCCGGTGAAATTGCTTGAAGCCAACCCTGGATCCGTGTGGGTAGTCGAAAATGATCAAGATCCCTACGAAGTAACGTATCCAGGAAACGTTTTAGATCTTAAAAAAGACAAAGCAGGCAAAAATTCCAATAAAAAAGATCTAGAAGAACACCTAGCAGCTAATATGATGTAATGTGTTCGTATAATAATAGTAAATGCTGATGTTAACTGGCTTGTGATAAAATAAAAATATTTCAACTAATAACTTAAAGACAGTCATATTTAGAAGAATAGGAACACAATATTACATACAAACATCCTTTAAAACACAAAACAGTTTAACCCACACTAAAGAAATGCACAACCTGAACAACAAACAAACTGTATTATACAAAATACCACGTGAATGTGATAAATTTTATATTGGTGAAACATCTAGACCGTTAAATGTTCGAACTGAAGAACATAAAGATTATTTAAAAAGGGCGATTTTCGCAAATCTAAGATTTGTCAGCATTCGTGGGGCACAGAGTAGATTTTAACAACGCCAAAATATATGAAACCAATCCTTCAAATTTTTGGTGCAATATGATGAAAAGATGTAATAATGGTAAATTCTTTTTACAAAATATTTGTTGGTAGTTATTTCCGCTAAAGTATCATTTAATGACGGCGATTTTCTCTTTAATTGAATATTTCATGGCACGCTGGATTTTCCTGAAGTAATCTTAAAACCAATTAATTTTGGAACATGTGATCTTTAATTGAACAATTTGAAGCACTTTACTGTGATCCGATAAGATAAAAATAAAAGATCATTTTTAATTTCATCAAATACCTATTTATTAATAAATGTGTTAGGCAGGTATCGATGTCAGATATATATCATTTGGTTATCTTTTCGCCAGAGGAATACTAACTAATAATAAATAGACAATCCTTACTCTAAGAGTACCACATAGTGAGGCATCTCGATACGATGCTCGCCACGATGCATCCTACGCGCACTTACTCGCCGTTTTAAAACAGTGCTTAAAACGTGCGCGTCGGATGCTAAGCGAAGTCTTGGACGACATAGAAACTTTAGAGATACAGAAACAAAATATAAACAAAAAAAAAACGTTGCCACTTATTTACTGAAAAATAAAGTGGCCCACCTCTATAACATTTTTATTTTTTCAGATAAAAAATTAGATTTCGTATGTTTTATATGACTTAAATTAGGATTGATTCACCTATTCAATTATTTTCGGTCACTTACTGTTTCACCGGAAACTTTTAATTTTTAAATGGCACCCTCAGTATATTTTTATTTTATTCGATAGAAAATGACACTCTCAGTAGAATGACATATCATATGTCAGCTTTTGGTATTTTCGCTTAAAAAAATTGTATTTTAAATTTCAATCTCAAGTGCTATGGCTGCGTTAAAAACACAAATTTTTAATCAAGGAGCCTTGGAAAAATATATTTGACCGTCTAATGTTTTGCGTGTCTTGTCCTTGTTGGTTAAAGATGCCCAATTCGTATTTTTAATCATATCAAATTTTTTCCAATGGAACAAGGATGGCTCATTAGCATATTTAGAAGAAGTATTTTATTACGAATAATTTAGTACCACACACTTGGTATTTCGTGTAAAATTATGTCGTTATGAACCGCATGTTACAATTTACAATTTCAAATAAACCACATGCGAAAATGTCAAAAGTTGACGTATGATATGTCATTCTACTCAGAATGTCATTTTCTATGGAATAAAGTAGAAATAGACCCAGGGTGCCATTTAAAAATCAAAAGTTGTAGTCATTTCCGGTAAAACAGGAAGTGACCGATAACAATAGAAAATGTCAATCAAACCTAATTTATGTATATACCGAGGGGTGTCATTTAAAAAATCAAAAATTATAGTTATTGCCGGTTAAACAGGAAGTGGCCAAAACAATTGAATACATCAATCAATCCTAATTTATGTCATACTAGTTGAAGCCTGGTGCATCCGCCACGACACCAGAAAAAAAAACTTTTATTTTATTTTTTAATTAAATGAAAAACAAAAAATCTGGTGACGACAGTTTTAGAAGAGCAAATTAGCTATCTTTTAGTAAAACAGCAACTTTCTAGAGCAAGTCGTTACTTCAGTAGAGACGACACAGATAAACATTAGCATTTTATACAGGTTGTTAATTTGTTTATTACTCGCGGCAAGAGCTTTATGGTTGAAATATGGCAACCTCGGCCCGCTCGTCGATAGACGACGCGACAGGACGAGTCGGCAGAAAACCCTATAAGTGCATGCATTCTCAATAGGCAGTGTTGCCATTCTGTTCCCTTATAAGTATAGTAAACGCCACGAATGTTTGGGAGTGATTTATCGCTTGATGAAGTTAGAATCGATACGCGCGCTATCATTTTTACATTAAAAATGTAAATTTTTAAATCATCTACCTGCGGTCCTCCTACTTATTCTAAAATTTTGGCGTGATTGACAAAGACGATACTATATCGCGTTTCTTTGATTGATTCGTTTTTGTGCGTCAGTCCATTGGTGTGCTTGCAGTGCGATCAATGGGGCATTCCATTTTATATTTATAACCAAATATATGTTTTGACAAGACTTTGACAGTTAAAACAACAAATTACAACAGATTATATATTGATTATTATATGACTTGAAACACCACGGCACTGGAATTAAGTTTTATGTAACCTTGAACAGATGAGTTCACATGGTAGCGACCGATAAATCACTCCCAAACATTCGTGGCGTTTACTATAACTGTCGAGTTAACAACCTGTATATGTAGATACTAACATACCAAATCTCGTTTTTTTTATCTGAAAAAATACAAAAGTACACCCTATAGGGTGAGCCACTTTTGAGACGCACACGGTATTAACGAAGATCGTCCATGATTATATCATATGATCGAAAAAAAACAGCGTTAAAAGACGGCTGGGAAAGACATTCCAAATGGCAAAGCCCTAGGCCGTGGCTCAACATAAAAATGGGAGCGTAGCGTATGGCAGAAAAGAATGTGTGAGAAAATATGCGTCAATTCGCAATATCATTTCATCCATATAGCGCCAGTTACAATACTATAATACACTTTATCAATTGCAATCTATAATACACGTTAGAACAAAATTTTAGTTATTTATTTACTTTTATTTTAGTTATTTAATTTTATTTATTTATTTACCTTTTAATTTTAAAAAATTAAAAGGTAAATCTTTTTATATTTCAATAAAAATATTTACCTTTTAATTTTTTTGAAATTTTCCCATATTGCGCCTACTTACAAATAATTACTTTGTTGGCTGAAAATAAGTGCAAATATTTTCAGCCTGAAATAACCATTATACTATATTTTTAAGTAAAAATTAAAAACATTTCCAAAAAAAATCGAAAAATACCAATTTTTGAAAACTATTTAATAGATGTATTCGTATGTATTTCGAAATCACTAAAAATGTTTACGCTTATTTAAAACTCGCCCTATATAACACATTTTTCGAGTACTCCCTATTTAAACTGAGTTCGTTTTTTAAGGGATTCTCCGATGATGGCAGCACTAGCGGAAAATGCACTAAGCCTATAAAGATTTTTTTGAAAAAATCCCATACAAAAGAAACTAATATGAATTATATGCTTTTTGGGACACTGGGTTATCCTGTATATCCAAAAATATTCCACTGAAAGATCATTATTTATAATTACAAGTAACGGCTCAAAACGAATATTTTACTTGTTAGAAACGACACGCACCTATCGAATCGAAATAATTGTTTAGAATTATTATGAACATTGTAATCGAAAAATAATAGTTCCTGCGACAGAATAGCGACGGCCGACGTAATATCCTGCTATCTATTGGAAATTTCATGCGAATAATCGACGACAATTACTCCATATTTCCTGCCTAATCGGGAACGTAAAAAGTTTCAAATAATGGCCCACAAAATGCCACCCAATTAGCTACATATTACGTACTTATTTCTATACAATAATTTGTTCAAAATGTTCGTCCAAATGTGTATTCTATTGATAGTAAAATACCACAGCGTATTCATTAGACAGTCAGTCGACTTACTTATGATTTTTAAGTCTACCTATGCTGCATACACATACCAAATTTGAACAATTGTGAAAAAGCCGATTTGATCTAATTTAAGAAAAACTGCATCTATTTTTAAATTAAAACTGAACAGCTAACAATGCAAAACCAGTGAAATGTCAACATACCTTAAGCTGTCAACCTACTATTTTATTTTTGTCAAATGTAATTTGTTGTACTGTCTACATTATACTCTGTTTTTTTTAATCAGGTAAGATTTCGACAGACGATGACAGAAGAAAAGCAGATGACGTCCCATACCAATCTATTTATTTTACTAAAAAAAGATTCTAATATTTTTAAGTTAACTATGGATGGGTTTAAATATAAATCCGTCATGCGTCGTCTCTTGTTGTTTTTAACCAGTTTTATTGGTTTATTTCAAAAATGACAGATCATATTTCAATTTTATTGGTTTGACGGAATGATGAATGACAAACGGACGCCGATGCGACTCGCCTTTTTTTCTCGCCGATTTTTGAGGCTTGTCAAAGTCTTGCCAAATTATAGGTTATAATTTTGCGTCAACTTATGTCAAATACCCTGCGTTTTGAAAGATGATACATTTTGATTCGTGTTATTATGTGTGTTTTGTGTCTTTTGAAGTCAAGTAGAGGAAAAATCGAGAGAAAATTAACTGTAGTCCCAGAGCACAGTTTATATTTAATACTCGCTGCTCAGGCAGAAAGTCTTATACACCAATAAAGTTTGTATACCATCTCGTAGATAAGTGCATCTCGTATATGGTATAAGGATCGTACTAAATACTAAACATATACCGTTTATTTAGTAAAACTGGAGTAGCTTGCTGTAAAATATCGACATCACACGATAGGTAAATAATGGATTTTAGTACTGCAGAAAAATAATGCCAATAGGTAGTGGTTTAAAAAAATTAAGATTAAAGTTAATTAATCAACCTTTAAGGTATAAAATTTGGTAAGTTTCATTATTAATAAAATATTTTGTTTTATTTATGTTGTTTTATTTATTCCTGTGGAATATTACAAATTTGTATTTGTACATAAGTTATATTGATAAATATCCCGAAATTGCCCACTTCCCACTACACTTGATTATAAAAACCAATGTTTTCAAAAAAAGTGAGGTTAAAAAACACACGATACCGTACAAAAGTTAAACAAAATTTAACTTTATACGACGTCGGACAATTAGTTAAAAATATCGGATAAAAATTGGTGTCAAAATATTTCGACCAATAGGAGCACCGTCGGATCGTCGTGTCATCGAATTTCGGATGCATGAGACTCCGGCTTTATACACCAATAAAATTACCATCAATAAAGTTTGTATACTATCTCGTAGATAAGTGCATCTCGTATATGGTATAAGGATCGTACTAAATACTAAACATATACCTGCTGTTTAGTTAGTAAAACTGGAGTAGCTGGCTGTAAAATATCGACATCACACGATAGGTAAATAATGGATTTTAGTACTGCAGAAAAATAATGTGAATAAGATTAAAGTTAATTAATCATCCTTTAAGGTATAAAATTTGGTAAGTTTTATTATTAATAAAATAGTTTGTTTTATTTATGTTGTTTTTGCTGTTTTTATTAACACGTACCGTTTTTTTAATAAAATAACTCGATTACATTTTTTTCAGTTTTATACCTATAGTTTTTTTCACAAAATTTTGAAGTAATCACTTGTCAGTCAAATTTTTAATATAGTAATTTCCTGCTATGCGTTCCAGTTGTACCAACTTGTTTCTTTGTAAAATAAAATAAACTAGTTTGAAATTAAAATGACAGACACATCTATCACTGCCAAGGATCTTGTCGTTGGACAGACTATACTACGTTAAACTGGTTAGAATAAGGCAAAAGCATAATGTTTAGAAAATACAATTTGACATTGACAAAATTATGGGATTATAGCATAATGTACGTAAAACAATAAAGTTTTTCATAAATTACTTATAACCGGCCTCTCCAAAATTGTTAAAATTTTGGGACGTGTATTAAGCATATGCAGACCTTTAAAAAACATATTTACAACTTCGCGGTACAATTAACAGGCTAGCCAATATTTGGACAGTTTTTGCATGCAATTTTCTGTTTCCAACGACGCTGCACCACCCTGTACATGCTAAAAAAGTAAATTTATTTTATTGAAAAGAAGATCAAAAACATCAATTTGTAGAATTTAATCATAGTTACAAAATCCAAACAATTCCACTTAGTTTATATTATTCTGAAAAACTTTACTAGAATTCTTAATTATTATCTCTTAAAATTCTTATTATTGTGCATTCGGCAAGAAATTAAGAAAACATTTCCTAGTAACTGTCAATATTAATTTATTATAAACACTTACTATTAAATCGTTTAATTAAACGCGTAAAATTAAAAAAAAAATCTATTAAAACTCTGGTAATAAAAAATCGTGATAATGCGTTATATAACTTTTTTAACCGATAATTAGATAATAAAGCCAGTCTAAAATATCTAATAATAAATCCCAAATCTAATTCACAATAGACGGAAGCCCCTCAGTCAAGGTTAGGAGACCTTGAAGCTAACAATGTAGGTTGCAGCACACTGTTTTGCTTTTAATTACATTTAAAATTTTCATAACGGTTGTTTATACGCTAAAAAAGGTGGCAAAGGTGCCAGAAATTCTTAAATAAAAACTTTATTCACTGTTTCACATAAAATAAAAAGACGAGTAAAAAGATAAAAAAATAAATATAAGTACACAGTTATGATAAGATTTATATAAAACAGAAGTTAATAGGAATAAAACAATTTAATGCATTAGCAAATAGATTTAGAAAAAAATAGAATAAGTTTTATGATTCACAGGATTATTTTGTTTGTTATCGAAGTACTCTAAACATTATTTTTGAAAACTTAATCCTAGCTTTGTGTGACAATTATTAGATTATTCAGAAGTATTCTGAGTAAAAAAGGGGTTGGGATGATTTAAATCAAATGATTTTTTAATTTTAATCATGTGATTTAGATAAAAAAATAAACTTCTTTGAAACTTTATAATAAATCCAAAAATAACTGTAAAAATTATAAAAATGTGCCTTAAAAAACTATAAAAAAAATTCTAAAACAGATATACCCTATATCTATTTATCAAATAAAAAGTTACACTAGTCCTAGTCCTAGTTATTTGGAAATATTGGATTTAAATAATGTTTTCTATTAAAATAAAAAAAAAAATCTGATTTAAATAAAAAAAATATTTTTTTTAATCAAAATTTTTGCCAACCTCGGTTAAAAATGAAAATATGTTTGTTGTTATACAAAAAACTAACAATACTTTGATACGTGACTCATATATTATGCATAATATGACGAATGTATGAATGCAGCCGATTGCAAATTGAATTATTTAAAATTCATGTTTTTATCAGTCAACATCCGTTGTACAATTTTCGTTTTTCGACGAAAGGTATTTGTTTTTAATTATTTAACAGCTTTGCAAATTGAAAAATATTTGAATAGATAAATAATTATAAACCTCATACTTAAATACTTGCTTAAATACAATCAATGCAGAATTTTTCACATACCTCATCTATTAAAAATATTTTAAAATCTAATTTAGACACAAAGTTGGACATAATATGTACCGTATCATCGAAAAAAAAAACGGTGTCCAGTTGGCTGGGAAATGACAGCGATCTACACTTCATAGCCATCGCTGACGCCGTTTTTTTTTCGATCATACGGTACTATCTTTGTATTTCTCGACCCCCTTTGTATATCCGCTATCTTATAACTTATCAAATTCAGTGGGACTGGGTATTAGCATCGATTGTCAGTTGAAAGGCTACCATGACGCCTTTTTTATTTGGCTCAATTTTATTTTTAAAATAAACATTTTGTAAATAAATTTAAAAATCGAAATAAAATGTAAACAAAATTAGGTAGTTGTGACTTACCTCTTTGACTTTGTCCCTTTTCTTCCTGACTGACTCGTCCCTGTCCTCGCCACCCTGTTTCAGAGGGTAAGTCTTGGCAGATCCGGGCGGTACCGTCTCGGTATCCTCTACCGACGCTACTTCCGGATCCTTTTTTTCGGTTACCGCCTGTTCCGGACGTTCCAGAACCTTGATTTCGTGATCCTCCTCGATTTTAGCCTGAAACAAGACAAAAAATATTATTTCGAGTACCTATTATTTCTATACTCTGTTTTTTTTTCTCAGGTAAGATTTCGACAGACGATGACAGAAGAAAAGCAGATGACGTCCCATACCAATCTATTTATTTTACTAAAAAAAGTTTCTAATAATTTTTAAGTTATCTATGGACGGGTTTAAATATAAATCCGTCATGCGTCTTGTTGTTTTTAACCAGTTTTATTGGTTTATTTAAAAAATGACAGATCGTATTTCAATTTTATTGGTTTGACGGAAAGATGAACGACAAACGGACGCCGATGCGTATGAACTCGCCTTTAGATTTTTGTCATTTTTGACGTTTGTCAAAGTCTTGCCAAATTATAGGTTATAATTTTGTGTCAACTTTTGTTAAATACCCTGCGTTTTGGAAGATGATGCATTTTGATTTGTATTATTACGCGTGTTTTGTGTCTTTTGAAGTCAAGTGGAGGGAAAATCGAGTGAAAATTAACTGTAGACCCAGAGCACAGTTTATGGTTAATACTCGCCAGGCAGAAAGTCTTATACACCAATGAAGTTGCCATCGATAAAGTTTGTATACCATTTCGTCGTAGATAAGTGCATCTCGTATAATATGGTAGAAGGATCAAACTAAACACATACTAAAAACTGGAGTAGCTGTAAAATATCGACATCGCACGATAGGTAAATAATGGATTTTAGTACTGCAGAAAAATAATGTCAAAAGGTAGGTACTGGTATATTCCTGTGGAATATTACAAATTTGTATTTGTACATAAGTTATATTGATAAATATAATCATAAATGCGGGTAGTTTCATAAAGCTTGAAAGTAAATAATAGTTCTTTTTATATTTTTTTTTGGTATGTAGTGTCTTGTTCTTGTTTGTTTTGTATTAACACATACCGTTTTTATTAAATAAAATAACTCGATTACATTTTTTCAGTTTTATACAGTTTTTTTCACAATATTTTGAAGTAATCACTTGTCATCTTGTCAATCAAATTTTAAATATTTCCTGCTATGCGTTCCAGTTGTACCAACTTATTTCTTTGTAAAATAAAATAAACTACTTTGAAATTAAAATGACAGACACATCTATCACTGTCAAGGATCTTCTCGTTGGACAGACTATATATCTACACGATGTTCCAAATAGGAATGTAATATATCGAGAAACCAGGAGTAGTGTCGAGCAAATGCAATACCAAAGCTCGTTTGGTCTTGATCTTGTAGTCTAATAAATACTCTTGATCTTGCAGTGTCCAGTCTTGGTCATGGTTTTGCTGTAAGACTATTGCAACTATATGGAGGAATTTTCCATAAATATAGAAAATATGTGTTTTTTTTTCTATCGAATAAAGTAAAAGAAATTGTGCGTCGGGAGGCACGTATAGCCGCCCATGCTAAAATATGTTAATAAAAAGTTGGTAGGCAATTCTTTTAGTTTCAAAGTAAAGGAATTTTTCCAATTTTGGTCCTCGGTTATTTGCCCTATCCGCCACCTGGGGTCGCGTCCGATGGGAGTTTGGAGTTCTCCAAACAGATTTTCTCAAAAACGGACTACGGAAACACGGAATATCTCAAAAACTGCGACTTTGACTGATTTTGATGTTATTACAAATTTTGTTGCAAATATTATTCCTAAAATTTTGGAGTTTCGATTTTTTTAAATTTTTAACCCCTTCCCATACCCCCTTACCAACCCCCCAAGCCCACCAAAAAACAATTGGCCAGATTCTCGGGTGCCACATTTGGTTAAAATACTTGTGTCTAGCCCTAGCAGGCAACTGTTAAGCCCGACCAATCACGTTAGAGCTTTTGACAAACACAAATGAATTAACACACTCCAAATAACCACGCTAACCAACCTGATTGGTCAAGCTTAATAGTTGACGGCTAGGACTAGACACTTCTGTTAAAATCGGTTTAGCGGTTTTTGAGTTATCGTGTTACAGACGGTCAGACGGACCGGACACACAGACAGACACCATGAAAATATTTTGTATTTAGGTCATTTATGACCCAAATAATTATTTTGAGTGAAATTAAAAAAAACTTTTTTTGTCGATCTTAATAGCTTACCATACCTGTTGGTATGGTCGGCTAAAAATATCGAAAGTTGTAGTAATTTCCGGTGAAATAGAAACCAATTGAATATGTCAATCAATCCTAATTTATGTCATATACTAACATACAGTACGTCTGCTGGATCGGCGTCTATGAAAGGAATGCGGACAAAAAACATTTAAATAAACAGCAATATATTTTATACGCCGACTTGACGAGTACGTCACCGGAAATCGCTCCGCCCACTCATTTTATTAGCTACTTGCAAATTTGTCGAATTTTTATTGATGGGACGCGTCGTCTTATTTTTTACGAAAAACATCGAGAGAATATCGTTTCCCCTCTCACGGATACCTCGTAGCTACAGAACGGACAAACGTACTGTACCAACTCTCGTTTTTTATCTGAAAAAATAAAAAAGTTATAGGAGTGAGCGAGGGAGTGAGCACTTTTGAGAAACATCCGGTATACAAGATACAAGAACCATGTGTATATTTAATGTATCATTACATAATATTCAATAAAATGATAAATAAATTATTATTTTTACTTGTCATAAAATAAATTTTTATCTGCCACAAAACGTAAAAAATCTTCAAAAAATACTTAAATTTTGGATGGTGTAATTTATGTACTCTAAAATAATCTAAAAACTTGGCTAAAAACACTTGATACAATGTACTAATATCAATTTCGGGAAATTAAAGCTTCTAAAAAAACAAACCAATGTTGGAGAAAGTAAATCAAAACCTTTGTGAAAACTATCAAGTATCAAAGTTGTAAAAGTACCTATCACAAAACCTTGCAAAAAATGCTTTCAACCTGTAGAATGCACGTAAACATTGGGGTTTAAATAAAACACTGCTTACTTGCCGGCTATCGTGTATTAACTGAACTTGTCTTTCCGCATTACGTAAAGACAGATATTGTTGTTTACAATCATTCAGAGTACACTTTTTACATAATAGGAATCACTAAGTTATTGAACACACTACACCACCAATAAAGCTAAAGAAAACAGATGATTATAAATAATAATTTTCCTATTAAACATTTTGTTATTAAATATATTAATAATGTAATGTATGTATATAATATACAGGGTGTCCCAGGCTGAGCGTGTATTAGAAGTTTCTAGAGAACTATAATATCTAGATCGGAGATTTTTTGCACATATGTGTTTCACAAGAAGATTTATCGTTTAAAAATATTTTCAATAAGGCGGCACTTCCGGAAATACCGGAAGTTGACAGCAACTTTCTTATTTTAAATGGGTGTCCCCATTTTTTACTACATACTTAAATTCTCTGTAAAATTTTATGAATTTTGATATTAAACACTCTATAACTAAGAAAATTTAAAAAAAATGCGCGATTATTTTTTTTTGAGAAACCTAACTAACCTAACCTAACCCTCATAGACGTGTTCCTGGGGTCGAAATATACCACCCTTAATAATATTTGCACTTATTTAAGACTCACCCTGTATAGGGAAGAGTACAACATAGTTAAAAGATATGCAGGTACTAGCTTTTTTTAATTTTAAAATACGGACATTTTAGATTTTTTTTACATAAACTATGCCTTTCATCCAAAACAATTTAACATACTCGTACCCACCTAGATATAGGTATTTAAGAAAGTGGAATTTTTATGTGACAACATTTAATATTGGAATGATATTGAGTATTACTCCAAAATTATCTAATAGGTATATAAGTAATACAAGATAGCAAAAAAATCATGTCAACGTAATATGTTACTTAGTATTTTACTTCAAATTAATTTTAAAACATCTAAAAGTACAAAATTATCTGAAAACACTTGATAAGAGACACTATACATATAAAAAATAAGGTTTCATAAGTAGATCATAACCATCAAAAAATATATTATATTTTAAAAAGTAAGATACTGTAAAATTGATCTTGAGTGGTACCCACTACAAAATTATCAAAACACTTAATACAAGGTTAATGAAGAAAGTAAAAGTTTATAAAATGTCACAAAAAGGGAAAAATCAATGTTTATTATAAAACAGGAGAAAGTGGATCATTTTTTGCATGTTATATTTGTGAAAGCAACGTGTCTCAAATTATATGCAGTTTTCTGAAACCTCAGAGCTAAAACTAAACGTAGAAAAATAATAGTTAAAATTATAAAATGTAGTCTGGTTACTCGTCATGTAGGATGAGCACGGCGACAGAGAGGGAAGAGTGGAAGAGATTGGGGGAGGCCTATGTCCAACGATGGACCGAAGAGGCTGAATAGATAGAATAGATAGACTCTGGTTTACGACGCAGGGAAGATGTCGAGAGTCAATGGCAGAAAAAAGGCAGATGACATCCATATCAATCCATTTAATTCACTAAGAAAAATTTCTAATATTTTTTAACTTATCTATGGACAGGTTTATATACATGGCTATGAAATGAAGATAGCTGTTCTTTTAGATGTAAAATTATATAGGAAATATCATCGGGAATATGATCTTAATTTCCCGAGTCATTTCCAAGCCAACTGGACGCCGTTTTTTTTAGCGTACAGTAGAAATCCGTCATAAATTGTCCCTTCTTGTTTATAATCAGTCTTATTTGTTTATTTCAAAAAAGACAGATCATATTTCGATATTATTGGAGTGACGGAACGATGAATGAAATCATGTACATGTACAGGGTGGGTCAAATTCGACGCTTTTAAATGGAAACGCCTTTAAATGGAAAAACCTTTTCTATAGGAGATTAAACGAATATCGGTGTCTGGAGCTCAATTTTTGTCAAAAACATCATGGTAAAAACCGCATATCGATATCCGTTACCGTTTCGGAGATAGGGGTGTTTTTCAAAAATATGCATTTTTAACAAATCGCTGTAACTTTTTTGCTACGGAAAATTTTGTATTTTTATGAAAACATTTCCAAAGCATCTTTTTTCGTAGAATTTAATGGTTTAAGTATAATTTTTTAAAATTAATAATTTAAGAATTATCAACAGAAAACTTGATTTTTTATATGGGACACCCTGTATATTTTTAATTTATTGAACAGAATTAAAAACTACCTTTCCCAAAATATAACACACTTGATATTTTGCTCGATTCCTCTTCGAGATATAGAGTATATAAAAATTCGCCCGCTTTAAATGAGTAGGCTTTGAACGGTACCGGCTGTAAAAAAATCTAGCTGTGAGCATCAATTAAAACGAAAATAATATTTGCTATGAGAGATGCAGAATTTTATTAACTATTTAAGATATATTTAACCAACATCAACATTTTAAACTATATCTAATAACAATAAAAATAAATAGCAAACCAAGACATGAGATTTTGCCATTTTGCCACAGGTGTTCGACATATCGACCGTCTTCTGTTATGGACAGACGGGGCAGTTTTTGACCATTTCTCGCGGAATTCATTAATTCAGTGGGGGTGAAAAATACCCTCTCGTAATTGCTAAGTATTTCTAATTCTTATCTAGATTATACGGAAGAATAAGGAACCTTTATTTTTCCGCAAATATATCCATAGGATTAGATCCATGGGCACTAAGTCAGGCGGCCTCGACGGCCAACGGCTGGAATCTTGGTTAGCTATTCAATTATTCTTGAAATTGGATGCAAAAATTTGCTGATAACTTCAGCGTTCAGAGGCGGTGCGTCGTCTTGCTGGAAAAATAGGTTTTCGAGTTCCATTAAGGGCATACCATCAATAAGGGGTCCAAAGCCTACTAGTTAAAAGTGGCGAACTTTTAAAAATTCTGTATTTCGAAGGTGATTATAACAAAATATCAAGTGTGCTATATTTTTGGAAGGGTAATTTTAAATTCTTTTCAGTTAATTAAAAATATAGAGGGTGTCCCAAATAAAAAAATCAATTTTTCTGTTGATAACTCTTAAATTATTAATTTAAAAAAAATGACACTTAAACCATTAAATTCTACGTAAAAAGGTGTTTTGGGAATGTTTTCATAGAAATACAAATTTTTAGGAAAAAAGTTAAAGTGATTTGTTAAAAATGTACATTTTTGAAAAACACCCCGTAACTCCGAAACGGAACAGATATTAATGTGCGGTTTTCACTATCATGTCTTTGATGAAAATTGAGCTTTAGAAATCGATATTAATTTTCGTCTATCTCCTATAGACAAGGATGTTTCCATTTAAAAGCGTCGAATTTGACCCACCCTGTATAATGGTAGTAGTTATAATCTTCAATTGAGAATAAAAAGTTATAATAAAAATATTGTTTAGGAGCACATAAAATAATTAACCTTTATCATAGGCATTAGTATTATCCAGAACTATTAAAACTAATCCATATAAGTAGCTATGTACATATTCCAGTAGTTTATTTTATTTGGTATTAAGTTAACTAACATAGTATAAATTAATTTGTAATCATATGCCTGATAACTATTATTATTACCCTTCTAATAGAGTGAAATGCAATATGCAGTCAATCATTTTAATGATTTTTGGCGGATATAGATAGATCAAATCGCTTGTTTCGTTAAAGGAAATCACAGAAAGCTTACGTAGATCACTCAAGTACATTTATTTATTTACTCGTTTTACTGCTTTGATTACTTTGTTTATATATTTATTATGCCGTGTTAATCAATGGTTAAGTGTGTAGCTGAGATACGATAACATAAAGGGTTCTTAACTTTAGAGGTCTACAATTTTTTTTATTAAGATCCGGCTACAGGATTATTACGCTCATCATATTTCTAATCAAAACCTAATTTTTAGGTTGTATTTATGAATAGGGGAATACACTTTCAACAGGGTACCCATAAAAAAGAGGTTGCCACGGTTCAAAGTTTTTCCTACTACTTTATATGGATCCGGCAACAATGCGTACGCATCTGTAGCTCCTATAGGTAATAAAAAAATTTAGGAATTTTAAATAAGTGCAAACCTAAAGTATGTATTAGGATGTATTTTAAAATGTAAAAAAGTTTTAAAAAATCGTAACTCCAAAATTACAGTAGCTAGCGAAACGCGGTTTTCAATTTAAGATTAGGAATAATATTTGGAACAAAATTTGTAATAACATCAAAATCAGTCAAAGTCGCAGTTTTTGAGATAAAGAAAAAATTGGAAAAATTCCTTTACTTTGACACTAAAAGAACCTAGGTACCTACTTTTTATAAACATATTTTAGTATGGGCGGCTATACGTACCTCCCAGCGCCAATGTTTTTTCAATGGAACACTGTTTTATTTCTTTGTTAGACGGAAAATTAAAAAATGAACATTTTTTGTCTCGTTTTTTTAAAGCATTTTAGATTTTTAGAGGTTCTATTTAAAAAAAAACATAAGAACCCTGGTGAATAGTTAAATATTGAACATCTACAATAGAATAATGAATCAGCCTCAGAACCAGCAGAATAAAAATTAAATTTAAAAGTAGGTATTTCTGAAAAATATGTTATTTGGAAAGAATTGCAATAAAATTGTATCCTGGATTAAATACCTAGCCCCTATACAAATAGTAAAAAAAGATCACTAAAAGTGAACTGAGTTAATGCCACAGACAATGTAAACTCTAAAAAGCATTTTTAAACGACCTACATAGGTATTATAGGTACGATTATTTCCACAGTTTTTTAAGACGAATGGAAACGAACTAACAAAAATTTGCAACATCACAGCTTTTGTACCTAGGTACACCTGTTTCCCAAATTTCCATATGTAAATTGATACCGGGAACCACAAAAAGATTTAAAAATAAAACATAAAAGGATGTAAGAGAGAATGAAAAGTACCCACATAATTTAATTCAATATTAGTATTATAAAAATGGCTTAAATTTTGTAACTCTTAGGAAAAAAATATTCTAGGAATTCTTTGTTGTTTTTCTCTGCTCTAAATATACCTACTTCTTTTAACATAACTCTCTTGAGGAAGTAGGTATATTTTTAACTCCAACAGATTTTTAAATTCAATATGGTCTTAAATTTCTAATGTTTTGAAAGAGGATGAATATATCTAACGTTCTGTTTTTTAATTCCTTCCAACAACATTATAATCCTTAAGTAAACAACTTTAGAAATCGTGTGGCTGGACTTTCCTTTTAAAACAAGCAGACATGAATTTCAGTAAACAAAACATTACCTAACCTCAACACGCCTAGCAATCGATTTATTTGGTCTTTAAAAAATAAATTACTGTCTTTATTTTAAGAGAGTTAAAAAGGTTTATAGTTACTAGGTCGAAAGAGTTGATAACCTTTTACTTAACTACTGAAGTAATTTGCTTTGTTTTGATTGTGAAAAGATTCCTGGTTTAAAAGGTTGAGTCTATGTGTTTTTCAGTTTTAGAGCTTGAAATGAGACTTAAATGCTATTACTAAGGAAATTATTAATCTCTAAAGCGGTACCTTGAGTTTCTCCCTGTCTCCTATGATGTGGGGATCGTTCTTGGGATCATCTTCATGTCTGTATATCCTCTGAGCCTCAGGGGACTCGTTCAGTTTGGGGGGAGGAGGAATTAAGAGATCAGGACCTGATCTTTTGATCTGATCGTAAACTTTATACATACTTTCCACTCTACCTCCCGAATTTCGGAATTCGGGCAAGTAGAAAAAGGTACTGAAACAAATGATGCACAAAGTGGCCACCACTAAACATATCACCGATCGCTCTCTAGATCTGAAGGATCTTCGTAAAGGTACCGGCATACCGTTCACGAAACGCTGGTAAGTCGGTAGAATGCCCGTCGAAGTCATTTTCCGAAATTTTCACAAAGTAGAGACTGTAGAAAACGGTACACTTCCATTAACGACAAATTGAAAACTGACAGACAGCTGGACAGCTGCTGGCCAGGCTGCGTTCGCAGATTTCTGTGCACAGGTGCACAGGTGGGAAAGCGGACCGACAGGACAAGAGATGAATCGAAAGGAGCAAAATCGAACACTTCTAATTCATGTGGCGCCATCTAATTGTTCAAACGAGACATAAAGAACATGTATTTATAGAAAACTTGTAAAAAATATTACCTACCATCTATCGTCAGTATCTTCAGGCTGTCACGTATCTCCATATAGAAACCTGTAAAATTAAATTGACTGCCATCTATTGTTAAATAGTTGAAAATTAAGAATTAGACCGTAGCGCCATCCTTTATAACATAAGCGTACTACACTTGATTTAATCGACATAGTAACCTATAAAAGTTCTTATGTGTGCCATCTATCGTAATTTGTCTGAAACTTTCTCATTTTTATATAAATTTATTTTGTTCTATAGGGTGGAAACAAAAATCACATTAGAGATTTTGGTATAATTTGAGTAAATTTGTTGTAAAAACAATAGGCACTAGTATATAGTATATTATACAGGGTGTAATTATACGCGAAATAGTCATCCAATTATACTTTTTTTAATAAATGTTTTTTATATCTTTTTCTTTATTGTAAAGCTATTCAATTATACAGGGTGACACTTTTTGAATGAATATTTTATAGATTTTATAGATTTTAGTATGTGTTTAGCTTAAACATAATATAGCAGAGTTTTATGTAAATATTATTGTTATGAATTAATTTTACTTATATTTTTTTAAAGATATTTGCAAGTTTGTATACAGGGAGTAAATGAAGCGCGAACAAATTTAGAGAAAAGTTGATTTTACAAATTTAATTTTTGTTCTATATTTTATTTTCGATTTTGTCACCTTTATTGTTTATTTGCCACAAAGTTTGATGTTTTTTTTTATTTTGTAATCTGATTTTTATGATTATGCTATCAGTGTGAAGATAATGTATTGGCTTATATTCTTCATTTAGATGGGTTTATTCCAATATATGAGGAGGTAATGTGCACAATTTAAAATTCTTTTGAAATGTACAGGGTGTTTCAGAACTATGATCCATACCAAAGTTATATTTTTTCTTATGGAACACAGCCGATATTTTATTTCATTTTTGGATTCTTGAGCCCAAAAAAAAAAGTATTTTAATATATTTATAATCTTTGGTTTTTGAGATATTTAAAGATATTTAAATTTGCATGCTACAATAGAATAGATTATTAACACCCTGTACATTACTTTTGAGAATTAGTTCTTATGCTGAGTTTAAAGGTAGAGAAATAAACTTTACAGAAAAAATGTTATTCCTTCCTTAAACGTATACAGGGGTATCAAAAATTGCTGGTCTATTTTAAATATTTATTTTACATAAAAACTTCGTTATTTCAAATGCAACACTATGTATTTTTTTAAATAAGTCGAAGCAGATTTAAATGCTTTTTCAAACTCTATTAGGGTTTCCTATACCTATCTGGCTCAGATTTTGAATAAAAAGCGATTTTTCAATTAAATTGTAATCAAGATGGCTAGTGTTGTCATGGCAAGTTTCTAGTGACAGTTAGTAGCTATTTTCAAAATCGAAATTAGTTTATGGACATATTTAAATTTATACCAGTTTACTTTTATTTAATTTACCTGCAATAGTTTAATAAATAATATTTATTAAATATGTGCATATTATCCTATCAAGAAAAACGAAGAAGTAGTTCTTTGAATTATTTTACGATGACTTGTAGATATACGGATTTTCTATAAAATAGCCAATTACGGCAAATTCATTTTATTCACTTCAAACGACAGGTTTCTGCCTAATAGGTTTTTATAAACCACGCTACCAGCTCTGCGAAATAGGACAAGAAGTTTATCAGGAAGATTCCTATTTGGATATCTTTGAGTATAAGCCCCTGAGGCCAAGAAGCAATTTTCCTCACAAAATATTCGTTCCGCCAGCAGATACTGCTTTACTTTTTTAGATAAAATAATGAATACTTACTTATTAAACTATTGTAGGTAAGTCCAAAATAACGGAGTTATTTTAATTTGAAAATTTCCCCAAAAAAATGATTTTTTGCTAAAATTTTGAGAACCACTGGATTTTTTTCTGGATTTTCTTTCTTGTAAATTTAATCTAATACTATGTTGACATATTATCAAGAAATTATGTTTTTTTAACTAGAAGCTAAAAAAATTGCCAAAAAATTTTTCAAAAAATTTCGAATTTTCAAAAATTTTTTTTTCGCGAAAAAAACCTCATAAGCTTGTTTCTGGTGTTGAACTATACTACCAGTTAAAATACTTGCACTTCTTTCTGGGACACCCTGTCCAGGTGTCCCAAAAAATAATGCCAACAAATTTATCTACAAACCAATACCATAATCATAGAAATCGAATTACAAATTCAAAAGTCATGAAACATCAAACTTAGTCAAAATTTTAGGGTGGCGGAATTTTGTGTCGGGGAGTTTATACATTTTTGTACACTTTTCCACCAGTGCAGAAAAAGTAAAACCATGCTTTTAAGGAAAATGCATTCGTGTAGTGGCCACTCAGACCAGAAAATTCACATTGCACATTGCCACAATTTATGGCCGGTTGTAATAGTGTCGCATTTATGTTTTTATCTCGAACAACTTAGCGTTTTATGGTCCTTTAAGACCTTTTAGTAAGTAAATGTAATCGCGTGCGCTTTTTTCTACTCATAACGCTGCCTCGAGTCTATTAAGAAATCGTAAAAATTCCTAGCTAGCAATCTGTATCTTTAAATGCAAATTTCCCGTCTTATAGACGACTGTTAATAACAAATATTTACATTTTGGAGGATGGCCGAGTGAAATCGGTGTGATAAACCGTCACGAAGGCGCTAAAAATGTTTATTGCTACGGTAACACTCTGTAAAGACAAGTTATGAATATTTATTTGTATTCTAAGCATCAGAGTAAAGTATACATTGCATTACATGCTTAATAACAGATTACATTTTTCAATATTGATATAGAAGAAATTGTGGGAGTTTAACCAATAATTTCGCTATTTCACATATTTTGTGTTGTTATTTTTTATTTGTTTATTTTGTAGTTATTATATTTTTTCTGCTATCTACTGTAGATATTTGGCAATAACGCTGTCTAAATTATTTCCTATTTTCGATGACTCGCAAACGATTTTTATTTTGCTTTTTTACTCGCTAACTATACAGGGTGATACAGTTTATAATCATCTGCTGATGATGCTAACATGGTTAGCGAAACGCGCGTCCAGTGTAAAAGTAAATGTGTTTTGGTGTATTGTGGTGATTTAGTGTTTTTATTTTGCTATACAGGGTGAGTCTTAAATAATTGCAAATATTTTTAGGGATGGCATATTTCGACCCGTGTTTCTCGGGTTTATTTTTTTCTCAATTTTTTTTAACTTTTATGTACTGTACAGGGTGGCGCCTCTCAGACGACTCGGAGACCCCAAGGAGAAAGGTAGATTATATCCATATTATATCGAAATGAAATTTTGGCATATAATATGTAGGTTATTGAAAGCATTTTATAAAAACATATGAGTTATACAAGGTGTCCCCAAAAAAAGTTACATATCAAAGTTGTGTTTTTTGTAATGGAAAACCCTATATATTAATTGATTTTCGGATTTCAGTTTTATTAAAGAAACATATGCCTAAAATCTAAGGATTTTGACAAATTTCACATTTTGTGAAAATGAAGAGTAAATTTTAGTATTCAATAACAGCTACCTACCTAAATTTTAATTTCCCTGTATAGCCTGATATTTAATTACAATAACCATTGTATGTTAAATCAAATTAAAATTTGACCCGAAAAGTTATATAGGGTGACACAAAATTAATATGAAACATTGGTCACTTTTAAAAGCAAATTACTTCTTTATTTAAATGGAACACCCAGTATATTCTTCCGGAGTTCAATGGGGAATTCATGTATCTTCAAAATATTATTAAGGTTTTCTACCCCCAGACAAAGATTTTCCTAGATATTTTAATGATTTTGCGTCAGTAGATCTTTATTATTAGAATATGCATATACTGATTTCTTTTGGAAAGCACTGTTCATTAAAATGTTGTATCCTATGTTATAGGGCTAGAATTTCCTGTCTCACAATGTACCGTTTGTGTCCAGGAAGAGTTCATAGTTTTATAGTTGTCGATTTTCGAAAGAAATCAGTACATGCATATTATTTCGTATATTTTTCATTTTATTGATTTTATGGAAAGCACTGTTCATTAAAATGTTGTATTCTATGTTATAGGGCTTGATTCTCTCTACAATTTTCTGTCTCACAGTGTACCGTTTGTGTCCAGGAGGAGTTCATAGTTTCATAGTCGATTTTCGAAAGAAATCAGTACATGCATATTATTTCAGTATAGCATTTATTATAGAAAAAATCTAGGTGGTTGTGATATACCTTTTGTTAATTTATCAAAAATTAAAGAATGTAGAGTAAAATACTCAACGGTAATAAAAATATACACGTTTAAAACACATTTTAATTATTACAAAATTAAAACTATATATAAACATATAATTATGTGACAAAAATTAGCTAGATGAAATCCTCTATGCTCAAAATGCATCTCTTTCCTACTTTTCACTGCATAAAATGATTCTCTTTTCAAAAGATTTTTTCATTTTAAAAGCCATATGTAGAGTTCTACTTCGAAAAGCAGCTACAATCATATTTCTCTCATGTTGTCGACAATAGTTGGTCGAGTTTTGTGAACAGTTTTTAACATATCCCCATAAAAAAGCCCAGACTAGATAAAATCAGGAGTATTGAAGTATTCTATTAATTGGTGAAAGCATACTGATGCACCAACTAATAGAATCATATCAATTCTCTCTGATGTAGAATAAGTTTCCATCTTCGGCAAATATCTGAGAATTTTTTTAAAATATTTTTCATCGAATAATGCCCCTTAAATTTAACTTAAAATCTTATTTATCACTTTTTATTAAAATCTGTGCATATATTTATAATATTTACGTTTTAATTGCGTTATTATATTATTAATAATTTTAATATACGTTTTTATACTTTTTATTTTATTCTCATAACTCAGTTGTACCTATTTCTTTTGTCAGATTTCAAAACAAGCCAATAAAAAAAGAACTGAACCGCTAACCTGCCAATTACATAACTACATTAAATTATATCGCATCATTCCATCGTTATCTTATTAAATAAGACCTTAAGGGCGCCCACACACTATAAAAATCCGTCAAATTATGTTAAAAAGAAGATTTACTAACAATCCCATTGGCAATAACGGCACCAGTGGCGTACTGCATTAAATATTATTTAATATATTAACTTATGCCATACGATAGTTAAAAGAAAGGTTGTATAAAATGTTTCATTTGAATAAAAAAAATGTTTGTCCAATTTCAAGATCTTTATCACAGCTTAATAAGTACCAGGACGTCTCGTTGCTTGTTGTTGTGCCAGCGCTAATAATGTAAAGAAAGCAAAACTTTGTTCACCCGGAGTTCATTCCGGGTACATTTTTTGTATTTAAAGTATTTCAACGGTTTTGCAGATATTCGCGTTATTGTATTACATATGAAGACTACACGGGAAAAACCAGCTTTGTCCATTTTAATTGGAGCCGAGGAAAATGCAATTTAGTGTTAGAATCTTATTCCCATTCGTCAATGTTTAAAGGAATATATTATTTTCGGTTGAATAATTAGAAAAATATATATTACTACCAATTCTGAATTATTAATATTGTTAATTATCGTAATATTCTGAAATACCGAAATAAAAATGTCAAAATGCAAAACAAAACAGGGGAAAACCAGGGATATCCAATTAATGGTTGTATAAAATCTAAATAATCTAAACTATTACTTTTTTGTTGTAGGAAAAAAAATAATATTTAAGTAGGTTTTTATTAGAATACATACATTTACTGCATGTAATACTAATTGCAAGTGGCATGCTTGTCGCTCATGCGTAAGGACATCACTGGTTTTTGCCATTTACGTGAGGACTACTCTGGTTTTTTTCTTGTACGGCAAAATAACCAAGCTGTAATATCTCTGTGACTAAGCGTATTATTGCTTTCTTTGATGGTGCCTCGAATAATGTTAATATTTGCCTATAAAGTTGTGTCACTATCTTAATTTCTATGAAAATGTGACATATCTGGTTTTCCTGTGTAGTCTTCATATGTATTTCATATGGCCACAGTAAATTGTTATCAAAACTACCTCATGATTTTTGTCTGGTATTTTACCGTTCAAAGAACCATATGTAATAAAACGACGAATAAAATACTTTAAATACAAAAAAAGTTCATTTTTTAATTCTCCATCTAACAAAGAAATAATATACAGTTTGTTCCCCCAATGACTATTTAAAAAAAACACGTAGAAAAACTATTTTATATTTTAGAAAGTACGTCATAGAATTTTGAACACCCTGTATGGTTTAAGGTTGCGATATTTATAGCAAAGTAAGTACAAATCAAGTATAGTTAATACCAAGTATAGTTTTCATTTCAAGACATTTCTTGTATTTTTTAATATTTTGTTTAAAAAAAGACTGAAAAATATACTTTTTTATTTATTTATTAAACATATTTAATAATATTTTAAGATTATGTAAAGAGATCAGAAAGGAACCCAAAAATGCAATAACATACAGGGTGATCCATTTAAAAAAATCATCCCAAACCGCTCACACTTTTTTGAGCCACCCTGTAGAACTTAAAATATTTTCCTGAAATACATCCTCATACATACTTTAGGTTTGCATTTTTACAAAATCTCTATGTTGTTTATTATAGGAGCTACAGACGCCCGACGCACTATGGCCGGACCCTGTATATCTTGAATACATTCGTATTGTATAGGGTAAAGTTTATCGATTTATATTATTTCTATAAGAATTTTGGAGCCCCTCTCTACGCCATTGCTGATAAATTAGAATTGGTATGTCACGCAAGAGGAATACTTCAAAGTACAACACAGATTTCAAAATAACCGCGTCCTTACTAGATGCATTAAAAATAATTGACACCTTTGAAAAATACTAATCTGACGCCTGTGTGAAGTTTGTTGCTATGTGCAACAACCATTACTTTGTATTAGACACGTGTAATTTTTGAATTATTTTAAAATTAGAACATTACTTAGTTCTTTTAAAAATGCTTATAGTCTCCCATGTGAAAAATGCAAGCTCTTAAGTGCTTTAATATATTTTGCCAGTTAAATTTTACTAAAAAATAATTAGATATACTATACAATTTATTTTTAATGCATATACCGAGTGTTTTTCAAAAGTGGCTAATAATCTTCTTCTTAAGGTGCCGTGCAGATTCCTGCGTAGGCGTTCATCTTTTCTTCCTCATCAGATGGTTCTATTTATCTTTCTGCGACTTGCAGTGCTTGAAAGTTCTGTATGCCTGTCCAATGACGAATATTTCTCAGCCAGGATAGCTTCCTTCGGCCTATTCCCCTTTTGCCCCCCTCGATTTTATCCTGGAGATTTAGACGCTGAAAGTGATAGCGTTTCCTCGTAGTATGTGTCCCAAATAGACTATTTTCCTCTTCTTGATGATTTCGTGACTTTAATAACGTTCTTCTAGACCAGCTCTTCTGAGAATGTCATTATACCTCACACGGTCGACCTAGGACACTCTTAGCATTTGTCGTAGGTTCTACATTTCGAAGGCTTCAATTCTGTTTATTGTTGCTACCTTCAGTGCCCATGCTTCCACACCATATAACAAAACGGACCAGACATCACCATTCTGTATCTAAGGCCGAAGTTCAAGTTCCTATCTGTGGGAAACCTTCAAAGTTTTAGAAAAGTTGTTCTTGCTTGCTCGATACTACATTTGATCTCCTGATCTGGATTCCTCGTTTAGTTAACCATGCATCCCAAGTATTTAAATTGTGTGACCTGCTTGATCATATGATCACTTCTCCATTTAAGTAAATTCTGGTGTTCGGAATGTTGTTTCTGCTGATAGCCATAAATTTAGCGTTTCTAGTATTAATGTTTAAACCCAGTCTTTGGCTTTCATTGTTAACCTTATTTAGAAGGATTTGGGGATCATTTGCATTGTCTGCCAATATCACTGTGTCATCCGCATATCGGATATTATTAATTGGAATGCCATTTATTTTCAAGCCAATGAATGCTCTTTTCACATACAAGTTAAACAACATTGGAGACAGAATACACCCCTGCCTTACCCCCTTTTTTATTTCAAAATCTTCTGCTACTTCCACGTTATGTAGGTATACGAATTTCAGCCATATTTGGTTCCAATACAAATGACTGATCTTTATCTAGCCTTATATCTTTTCCATCAAGTCCCAAGTCTCTGAGGTATGATATAAGGAGGTTATGTTAAACATTATCGAACGCCTTTTCATAGTCTATAAAGCACATGAAGACATCTTTTCTCTAATCTTGACAATTCTGCAGTAATGTTTGAAGACTCAATATTGCTTCTCTCTGAATATGGCTAATAATAAAATAGATTAATTAAAATATTATTAAAGTTATTTTTATTTTAATTTCATTAATTGTGTTTGTAATAAAATTGCGTTTATCTCATCATGGAGATCGAAATCGACAAAATATTAAGACCCAACTTTTAATTGGCATTAAACGGCCTATACAACTGTATTACTAACAAGAGAAAAAAGCCAGTGGCGCACATGTTAATTTTTAAGAAAAATGTTTCAGTAATAACCCATACGAACGTTCCTGGTGAATCTGTTCATACATTTTTGGTACTAAGATATGTAATACTTGTAGTAACTTTTACCCTCAAAATTTCATTTGAATAGCTTACTAAAATTATAATAAATAAAAAAAAAATGAAAACTTTAACCCACTGTAGTAGCTACGAAGAAAAGCAGAATCGGACCTATTTGATATAAAAAATAAATCTTTTTTTACGTGAGGAATTTCCCCATGAGAAATGAGACATGATTACCACACCCTGTATAAAAAAATATACATATCATAAATGTTCTACTCATATTTTATAACATAAATTCCATAGAAAATCTGTAATATTTAACCATAGATATGAAGCTTTATGGGCTCGCTGGATCACCCTGTAGAGTTGATATTTCATAATTAAGATCGAAAAACTAAAACAAGAGATAGAGAGGTTTAACAGTCGCCGTCGGGTACTACTCGACGTCGTACCACAAGCCGATCATCTTCGTAGCGCAAACTAGAGCTGCTGCTGCGTTCCGTATGCCACTACGCGTATTTCCGGCATCCCACACGCTTATTTCTCTTTCCTCGATAGCCCGGCTACTATCAGTACCTCAGTACTCTCGAAAGTCGTACCGCAGCAGACTCGGTCAGGACGTCAGGACTAAGAAAGTCGTCGCAGGATAGATAGTCCAGACGTTAAGGGCGGTATTGATAGTCATTGAGGTGGTGGTAATATTGAAGGAAATATAGTGTGCCAGAAGTACTGGGAAGGGAGATGCGAGATTTCGGTAGTACCGGTATCGTGCGCGAATTGAAAATTTAAGACTTTTTTTCGAAATATTTTTTCACGATTATTTGGTTTGTTCTGGGATTGGTTAAGTGAGTATTATTTTTTTATTTGTTTAAATATTGAGATGCACTTATACTCTATAAACGCACATTGAATTTTCTAGAAAAAGATTGTTTTTCATTCATCATTTTCTACTTAATTTGTGTGATTATTTTAGTTTTTAATATATTTTCATTTGTTGCTTCGTATTCCTTTCTGTGATTTTATTGCAGAATTATTTCTACTGTTATTTTCATACTTACAATTAGAAAATTTATCGTGAAGAACAATAATAAATATTATTATGCTTTTATAGAAATATTGCTAATAATATTAAATAAAAAAATATTCTTATAATCCAACAATTATTGTCCTAATAATTTTTTTTTTTTATTGGCAATTTTTTTATTTACAAAGTACAGGAGTCCCTCGATGTTACGTTCCTTGAAAACCGAAAGCGCGTATATTGAAACAAACTATATATTACATAAACTATACAGGATGGGTCTTTCCATAAGTAGACATATTTTAGTAGTTTGAAAGTTTTTATATATTATGACTTTTTTGGAATTTTTTTAAATTTTTAGTTAAAAAAACATAATAACTTGACAATATGGCAACAAAGGTAGTGGATTAAATTTAAAGGAACGAAGAAACGTTGGTTTTCAATATTTGTCACAACTCTTTTTAATTCTCAAATATCTTTCTTCAATTTATTCTTAAATAATTGCAAATATTTTCCGGGCTGGTAGAGCTCGATAAAAGTAACATATTTTCTTTTTACCGTTTTTCCAATAAGTCCAAAAAACCGAGTTATTTTACTTTGAAAACTTCCAAAAAATGATTTTTTGCTTAAATTTTGAGAACCACCGGATCTTTCCTGATTTTTTTTCTTGTAAATTTGATATACTACCTATGTTGCCATATTATCAAGGAATTATGTTTTTTTAAGTTAAAACTAAAAAAAATTCAAAACATTCCAAATTTTCAAGAATTTTTTTATCGCGAAAAAAACCTCATAGTCGTGTTTCTGGGGTCAAAATATACTATTCCTAAAATTATTTGCACTTATTTAAAACTCACCCCGTATATTTAGAAGTTTATGAAATAATTAATTTAATAATTATTTAATTTTAACAACAAATCTTATAATCATGGAAGAAAAATTTTATCACATTATTATAATGATATATATGTTCATTTAATGTTTTTCATTAATTTTTATTAAACTTAATGAATTTGTTTATAATATTATACGCCAATAATAATTATAAATTATGTAATACAAGAGTAGTTTTAAATTTTATCTAATGAAACATATTTTATAGTACAGGGTGTCCCAGTATTCCGTGGACATAGAAATACTGCATATTTTTGGAATCAAAATAAGTTCATTGGATACAATTTATCTCTTTACAAAACCAAACCAAAAATAAACCTGAACGTTAATTAATTTAAAATTTGTGAAGCTTATCATCAAATATTATTTGTCATACTAACTTAAAATGCTATATTTTCGCCAACTAGATTATGGAAATATAGAAATGTTACAGCACTTAGCAAAATATGGGCACCCCAAATCTCATTCAAATCGGAATGGCGGTCCTTAAAATATCTTAAAAAATTTGTTTATTTTTTAAAAGTTTAATGCCTTTAACGGACTAACGAAGCATTTTTGTATAAAGGTAAACTATGTCCAATGAACTTATTTTAATTACAAAAATAGACAGTAGTTCTACGTCTACGGAATATTGGGACACCCTGTATATTAGAATTTTAAAAAATCTCTATATAAGGGATAACTTCTTCTTTGTTAGTACCAGAATGAAATAGAATAGAACTTTAAATGAAACTGAATATAAAAAAATGTCAGTAGCCTCTTAAAATATCAAAGAAATCACAACTAAATAAAAAACAGCAAATTTCATTATTTTAACATTTTTTCAAATCATAGTGGCCTGTTTGTTTTAGGAATTTACTAATGTCGAACATTATCTAACTATTTTAATAGTTATTTTTCTATTTTATTCTGATAACATATTGGCCGGACGAGATAAGCCTAACGAATTTTGTGATTATGCGAATTGTGCGTGAAAAATACAGAGAGATTCGGTTTTAAAAGTACATTGGCTTGATAACTGCGTGTGTAATAATAATTATTGAATTAGTAACAAGAATATTAGTACAGTCAATCTGGCATCAAAAAAGGTCTAGAGTTCCATCAAATTAACCCCGCTCTCATACTTTGCCAGTTTTTGAGAACTCAAAAAAATTTTGGATTCAATTTTCTAGCTGAACCGTAGGTTCCACAGAAATTTTATGGAACAAAATAATTAAATTCTCTACATTTTCATTTCTAAGTAACAAACCTCTAAAACCTACTGGGACAAAGTTAGAGGGCGCAAAAGTCACTCAAATGCAGTTTTTTGCATTTGTGCCTGTGACAATGAAAACAATTTTTTTACTGTCGTAAAGTTTTTAAAAGTAAAGATATATATATATATATATATATATCAAATTGATTGATTTTTTTTACGTTTTACTGTTTACGAGATATATTGCATTCGTTTCTACAATATGTATGAAACTTTGGATCTGAGGTTTTTATGTCCACAGAATATTAGAACAACCTGTCCATGTAACTTTAAGAACACCCTGAAATTGTTAAATTATGCAATATATTTATTTAAATTTATATTTTAAGCTGTGTACTTTTTACCACTTTTAACAATGGCTGACATAGTTTGATAAAGATATTAGTTAATGAGGTAAAACTAACAGATGCATGAATGAAGGTATATGCTCCAATATTTATATAATATTTATCACGCCTGTTTTGTTTTATCACGTTATTTTGATTTTGCTTTACGTTACCACTGAATCCATAACGAAGTTCCAACTATTGCTGTGGAAAAATTGTTATATGACATGAATTAAATACCAATAAGATTAGAGAATGATAAAAAAGAAATAAATATATTTAAAAATTTGTTAAAAACATAAATAAAATTTATCTAAAAAGGAATTGTGAAATATTTTTTTTTAAATTCACCCCCGACGAGGGATGAAATAAATAAATAAAATTCCAAAAAAAGTTCAAATAAAAGCAGTTGTAGAGCGTTAGATTTCGCAAAAATGGTCTCTATACTTTTTTGCTCAAATCAAAATTAACCGAGATAGGTTGGCTAGAAGTTAGGGCACAGTTTCTCTGAAATTTGGAAAAATCCACTTTATTTATATTTTTCACCTCTTCTCAGGGGTGAATTTAAAAGAATGTTATTTGAAATTTATAATTTTCCGAGCAAATTGAAAACAAAATTTAAATATATGATTTTTTCAGCAACTTGTGATTTTTTTTAAATTTCTACTCTTCATCCTCTAGCTTCTAGCCAGCTAATTTTTATTTGAGTAAATAATCATTTTTATGTTAAATATGACGCACTACAACTTTTATTTGAACTTTTTTCTAATCTTTAATATTAATATACCGTATATCATGTGACCTTTTTTCTTTTTTTTAGCATCTAATTTTCATAATACTATAGGTCCCCACTTATTACTTTACACTATACAGGGTGGTCCGAACTGTAATCCGGAAACTTCGGCAGCATATTCTGCTGATAAAAACGAGTAAAAAAGTTCGTATAGATGTATGTCCTAAAATGCTTAATTTCGGAGATACAGGGTGTAGAAGTTTAATTTTTATTTGGTTTTTTTTTCAAATAATTTCTGAAGTAACGTCAATATTTTTATGAAAATTGGTGTCTGGGAGTTTTTTGACATGAGAAATTTGATTTTAGTGTCAATATGACTCCTATTTGTAGGGGGCGCCACCTATACATGTGTATTAACTGTTTTGCAGAGTAATAACTTTTCGTCCGTACCTGTATAAAACTACTGAGTGAAAAAATATCCGTGATATTTTACGTAAAATTGGTAAAAATTGCTACGAGCAACCGTTTTCAAGATATTTAGAATGGAAATAGTTCATACATGTCATTATTGACAAAAAATATACATGTTGAGTAGATAGTTATTTGAGTGAAATGATAAATTTGGGAACTTTTTATTTTTTTGAAATTAATTATACATTTTTCTTCGAAAAAATGATGATAAAACAGTTTCTGTTGAACTTTTGGCACAAAAACATTTCAAATTTATGATTTCAGTTTAATAACTATTTAGTCAACGTGTTTAATTTATGTCAATGATGATAGGTATTGATAATTTCTATTCCAAATATCTCGAGAACCCTTATCCCTAGCGATTTTTACCAGGATACCTTTTTTACGTAAAAAGCCTCATAAATGTTTTTTTTACTCACTAGTTTTATACAGGTATGGATGAAAAGTTATTACTCTACAAACCAGTTAAAAAATATGTAGGTGGCGCCCTCTACAAGTAGGAGTCATACTGACATCAAAATCAAATTTCTCATGTCAACAAACTCCCAGACACCAATTTTTATCCAAATATTAACGTTGCTTCAGAAATTATTTGAAAAAAATCGAAATAAAAATGAAACTTCTACACCCTGTATCTCCGAAACTAAGCATTTTAGAACATACATTTATATGAACTTTTTTACTTATTTTTCTTTGCAGAATATGCTGCTGAAGTTTCCGGATTACAGTTCGGACCACCCTGTATATACTACGGCTCCCTATTTAGTATCTTGGACTGGGTTCTCTACTATTTAGAACGAAGTAGGTATTGCAGTTTCTTTCTTCTATAATCCTGTCTCGTTGTACCGTGGAAAAAAGGAAACTGTCACAGATAAATCAGGGTTTTTTCATAAATAACCTTAATCTATCGAAGTATTTCGTGAGTTTTTTAAGATACGTGCGAAAACGTGAAAAAAAGTTATCTGGTTAGATTACCAGTAATCTCTGACGAATTGTCATAGATTTCAGTAACTGAAAGGGAGTTTGTTTTGTTGTAATAAATCATAATAACAGAAAAATATATTAGAACATGATTATATACAGTGTGATTCACTGCCATGGTACGTTATGCGTTTATAGATGATTTTTTACATAAAGGAACCTTC